TCATGCTAACCCTTTGTCTACCACATAAAAAGACTCCACCTTCACCTCTGTTCAGACAGACCGCATCCGGTGCAGTGCGTTGAGGTGTTGCTCTGGAACTTCTCACTGCTTGTGATGGGTGGGATCCCATGGAGAGGACTAGAAACATTCAGCACCTGAAGACGATGAAAGGCTGTAAAGGATAAGAGGGAGAAGGGATCAATATGTTGATAATTCTAAGGAAGAGATGCAGACACACTGGCACACAGCTTGAGTGCAGAGGGGCCACCCCCGTAAAGTAGGTTGTGCTTAGGGTCTGGCTACACCATGGTGTCTGTGCTACCATCTCTCACAGGGCTTCACTCTTTTCCATAGGCCGAAAACAACCCTGTTTTCTACTCTCTTTAGGAGGAACAGAGTACTTAGCAAGAAGACAATTATTTAGCAAAAATGGGGCACCTAAAAGACAGAGATTAAGAGTCGGCACAGGGGTTGCAAGACTTGCCCTTTTGCAGTGACTTAGTGGGCATCCATGCTTGTAATGAGAGTCGCTTACAACTGTATGGACAGTTTTGCTGAGCCGGGCCGATTACTATACAGATCCATTAGCATACTATCCTAAAAGACAATAAACCTATCTGAGCTTTTGCCATGGAACACGAATCCAAGTAATTATTTTTGTGTCGTAAGAGAGGTCTAGGTGGTTGGTTGCAGGCAACTGCCTCCGAGAGCACACAGACCCAAACAGCCTGAACACCAAGAGCAACAGCAGGCAGGAGGCTGGTCTGGAACCCTCCTAACCTCCCAAGTGCCTCAGAATGACATATACAACTAGAAATCACACCATTTTGAAAAGCATGCAACTCTCCCACATACTTTCCATCCTTATTTGGAAATTTAACCAAATAGACTGAGGTATGAAATTAAAGGAGTGGAGTTAAAGTATTTATTTTACAGGAAAAAAACAGGAGCATTGCAACATCAAGACATGATAATATCACGTTACCAAATGTTCTTGCTATATCTTCCACATATCAGTCAAGATGACACGGGGTTGCAGAGACAGCAATTATGGGGGGAGGAAGGAATCACTGAAGGTTTCTTGGATCAAAATCCCCACAGAACTTGCAAAGGATACTGGGAACCTATATAACCTATATTGTTCCAACCAAACCTGCCACTGGCTCTGTGCTCATCACTTCTATTACATGTTCACTGATCTAGCCCTGTTTGTTATGCAAGGAAAACTGGAGGCCTAGGCCCACAGTTTAAGCTTCCTTGTTTTTAAGAGGGTGGTCATTACATGCTTAAGTGATACCAGGGGACAACAAATGTGAAAACAGGGACAGAAGTGTGGGTTAAAGGTTAATAATGACTGCTCCAAGGGGGAACACCAGTGAGGGGGGAACACCAGTCAGTGCTCACTGCTCCTTGAATGAGTCCAAGAATCCAGTGGATGCTTCCCAGTGAAATTCTGCCTGGAGATGAGTGCAGATGAGGGACAGGAAGACAGCTGCCTGGGTTCCTTAGTGGCCAGAGCCTCCTTCCTGGTCTGATGGATAGCTAGTTTAGCTAGAGCTAGGATGAGGATGACAGGAGGCCTATTTGTCGCACTTGGAAAGTGTGAGCCTAGGCCCACCATGAACAACTATAAGCCTCCTTGAAAGAGGGAGGCCACTGAGAATACAACTGATTGCTTAGGACAAATAAAGAGTTACAAGTTCAGAACAAGGGATCTGGAAGGGAACACAAAGCAGAGAACACCAGCCAGTGCCCACTGCCCCCTCAATGATTTGAGGGAGCTTGTAGATGCCAACTAGTGACACTCTGCTCAGAGATGTGAGTGGAGGAGAGACAGGAAGACAGCCCCACACTCACCCAAGGTCCTCCCCCTATGCCCTAGCCAGAGCTTTCTTCCTGGTCAGGTAGACTGCTAGCTTGGCTAGGGCCAAGAGGAGGTTGACCAGGAGGTCCTGGGCCTTGGCAAGCCACAGATGGGGAGTGCATAAAATAAAAGGTGTGGGGAGAAGTGCAGTCAGAACCTCAGGAGGATGTTCCTGAGGAGGCAGTAAAGGGGCTGCAGTCTGGCTCACTCAAGGTAGGCATGTGCCAGGGTGTCCCGCTGTTGGCAGAAGAGGCTGATCAAGGAAGTACTGTTACTGACTGGCAGAGGGAAGGGTAAGGCATGATCTCCAAGAAGGCCTGTTGACAATGATCCCAAGTGGCTGTGGCTCTACATGCGTGGCAAGGATCAAGTTAATTCTGCATTTCTCAATTGCCAGCTTTTGGGCTTGGAAATTAAACTATAGTTTTGGAAGTTCATGACTAGGCCAAGTACCAAAAAAAGCCTATTGCCAAGTTAACAATGCTGTTTGCATAAAGATTGTGTTACCTACTTTTAGAGGTACACCAATACATCGGTCTGATATTAGATCTTGTGTGTTCCAGGCACTGACAAAGGGGCACAGGATAAACGAATATACATTATACCTACACTTTACAGTTGAATGTGGATTTGGGACTGGTAGAGTTTCACATCACACAGATTTCACACGAGAACAGAAAGAGAGACAGCGGTTAACCTCTGGCTACATCTGTTGTCCTTGCACCTCAGATGAAACTATGACCTTCACTTTTGGTGAGTTACTGGGGAGGGGGGCGGGTGGTGGGGGAAAGGGTCTCCACTGGCTGCCTCACCCTTGCAAGCAGCTCCCGACCGTGCTTACAGACAGCAGGGAAGGAGCTCGACTACCTGCACCTGACAGCCCCCACCACAAGAGTGGCCTTCCCAGTTGCGGCTCAGTCCTAGGGCAGGAGGAGGCAGATGGGTGCCTGATGTTAGTTACGGCTCCAGATTCTGCGCCGCAGCGTAGTAAACCTCCTTGAAATCGCACCACCCGGTCAGGCTCTCGCAACTACCTTCAGCTGGGGACAGCGAAGCAAGGCGCAGTGTATGTACCACAGGCTCCGGACTCCTGCTGTGCCCTGGCAGAGCCCCTTGGCGCCCGGGCCGAGCAGCAACTGAACACCGCGCCCCGGAGCAAGGCGATTCGGCGCCGCGCACCCGCTTAGCTCTCGCCCCCAGCCCCGCTCCTTTTCCTCCTGACCTCGGCTCAGCAATCCCGGAAATCGCCACATCCTCCCAGCACGCGGTATAAGGGGGAACAATAAGGCCAGAGCAGGTACAGCGATACCATAGAGTGGAAACGTGTCGGATAGATGGACCACGTAGTAACCAAAGAGACGAATGGAGGGCAGAAGGAACATAGACCATAGAGAGGAATTGTGAAGGGCTAATATAGCATCCAAAACCATGAAGTGGATATACACCAGAGAGGAAACAGGAAGCGAAGAAAGACAGTGCCAACCAAGACCATAGAGTGGAAAATGCGGGCTAGATAGGTCACGCAAGAACCATAGAACAGTGGACGGCGGGGGAAGAGTGGCGCGGGAGGGAGTTAAACGAGTGCAAGCCGATTGCGTGGGTTATACATCATAGTGAGGAAGGACGTGGAGGATTTACCAGCCCTATAAGCCATAAAGAAAGCTACGTAGGCTAGAAAGACCATGTACAATAGGAAATTTGGGGCGGCCGCACGCTGGGTGGATGGCGCCTAGGCAGCTAGAGAGCCCTTGCGTGGACTGCGGTGGGCTAGACTTGTCACATGAGGCAGCTGAGCAATCCCCAACCTCGCAGCGGCGGCAGCAGCAGGTATCCCAGGGTCATTAAATCATCCTGGCGTCTGGGTACAACTTCTTTTTTGTACTGCAGGATGAGGCTGAAGTTGGTTCCTTATTCTCAGTTCCTTATTCCCGGTTCCTGGTTCCTTTTTCAAAGGTAATATAGACCAATAAAAACCTGTTATTAATGAATTACACATCCTAAAGAGACAGAATTTCATTAGCTGTGCATATGTACTAATTAATATGTAAAATAATATCCCACATCAAGTACAGAGCCCTAAACGAAGGTCAGATTAGGATGGGATTATGGGGCAAAATACTTCTTGGGCCACCCCATACTTTTTGGTGATGCCACTGGGTGACTGTCCCAAAGAACCCCGAGAACAGTCCCACCTGGCCCAAATCATGGTTTGGCTGTGCCAGGCTGCCAACTAACAGCCCTCATAACCACTATATTAAGTATAATGGCTTCAATAAAGAACCGGCTTTCAGGATGGGAGCATGGCTAGAAATTCTGCTTGGACCACCCATCAGAACATCTCTGTGTCACCGGGGGACTGCCCTGGACATCTGTGACCAGAGACTTGCCCGGCCCAAAGTGCAGTTTGGCCGTGCCAGGCTGCCAAAAGTCAGCACCCCACCCACTTTGCTAACTATGCACCCCGATAAAGAACTGGATTTTGGGCTGAGATTATACCCAGAAACCCTTCTTGGGCCAACCCAGACCATGTCTCTGTGCCACCGAGGGACTCTCCTGGACATCTCTGACCAGAGACCTGCCCGGCCCAAAATGCGGTTTAGCCACACTGGGTTGCCAACTGATACCACTCCCCAGCTGCTGTGCTAAATACATGGAACCTAAATACATAAGAAACTAGATTTGGGATTGGGACCCTTCTTGGGCCACCCCAGACTATGTCTCTGTGCCACTGGGGGATGCTTCTGGACACTTCTGACCACAGATTTGCCCAGCCCAAGACGTGGTATGGCCATGCCAGGCTGCCAACACACAGCACCCAAGCCACTGTGCTAAGTATATGGAACCAAATAAGGAACTGGATTATGGGCTGGGATTGTACCCAGAAATCCTTGGGCCACCCTGGAACATGTCTCTGTGGCACCGGGGGACACTCCTGGACATCTCTGATTAGACACTTGCCTGGCCCAAAACTTGGTTTAGCTGTGCCAGGGTGCTAACTAACAGCACTCCAGCCATTGTGCTAAGTATATGGAACTGAATAAGGAACTGAATTTTGGGCTGGGATTATACCCCAAAATCCTTCTTGGGCCACCCCAGACCACACCTCTGTGGCACCGGGGGACTCTCCTGGACATCTCTGACCAAAGACTTGCCTACTGAAAAAAAACATGATTTAGCCGCACCAGGTTGTCAACTGCCAATCCCCCCCCCTCCAGCAGTGTTAGGGTAACGATATGGATTTTGGATGTTGGGGTAACGATAAAAGAACACTGCTGTAAAAGCAGCCTCTGCAAGGTGCAAGGAGGAAAACTTTTGAATAAGTGCCAACCTGGTTATAAACCAAGCAAAACCAGCCACAAGTGTATTAGCTGAAAATGAACTAACCAAAAGGGGTGAGCCCCTCTCTTTTTGTTCTTGTATTTTACAGGATGAAATCATCACTGAAGAAGTTTGCAAAGTACAAGAAGAAATCAAGCTTAACTGTGTTATGTGTAAAATTTTGTTTTATTAAGTCTATAAAATGCTATAAGTAATTGTAATATCAACTATGCTGAACTATGAAATGTAAAGCAAAACTTCTTGATAAGCTATGAAATACCTGAATAGTAGCTACAAAATGTTACATCAAGCAGAGCATCACCTCCATGACCTTGCAGAGTTCAGCCATGCCAAACATCAAGGCTACTAAATTGTTTGTTTTATTGTCATCCTTTGTTTCCTTCTTTTCCCCTTGTATTTGTTTTGTTTGTGTTAAAATTAATGTCTTTTAGTTTGTATAGTAGAAATAGTAATGTAATGTAGTTTAATTAATTCCCCAAATTTATGCAAAAAATTAAGAACACAAAGTAAAATGATAAAATCCTGTGAAAAATCAGGGCCTTCTTATGCAAACAGCATACCTAGTCTCCATGACAAGTTAAAAAAAAGTCTTGACACTTATCCAGACTTTTATAAAACGGAAAGGCACTAGTAGTGCTAAAATAGCACCAGCATCTAGTTAACGTTCACCTGTATATTCATGCCAGTAAAAAAGGAAATATCCCTATGGTACCATCATCCCAGTTCCTGGCTCAGTCCCAGGCTGGAAAGCAAGTAGCCTAAGCACTCTGTCACCCATTGCCAATGATGGGCAAAAAGGTCAGTCCTCTGTCCAAGTGACACAAAAGCACCATCCACTTTGCCAGGCCCAAGGGGTGTGTTGTTCGGGGAGAGTGATGACCCCTGGAGAATTGCCTGAGTTTCTCTTTTGCTGCCTATACTAATTCTGTGAGGGAGTGTTAGGGTAATGATATGGATTTTGTATGTTGGGGTAACAATATGGAATCAGGGTGCTGAGTGCAGCTGAATGAATGCTTTTTCCTGTGTTTCAGGAAAAAGATGCTGGTCACAAGACTATCTGATATATTAAAAGCAGCTAACTTTGCAAATGCTTAAGCAAGCAGTTTCCTAACAAAAGGAGTGTGTAAAGTGTGTGATTTGCTATGTAACAACAAGATGCAGCCCACCAGCTATCATCAGGAGATAAAACGGAAGCCAAACCTCAGAGATGGTGCTGAAATCAGCAAAGAACAAGAAAGAACCAGCAAGTGGTCGAGAGTACCCGAGTTCATGGTCTTATGCATGTGCTCTTAGCAGAGAGGCACGTAAATGAAGGAAATGCATAGGCAATTCCATGCTAATGAAGCAAACAGTAAACAGAGGCTGAGCTTGAGATGGGAGGTGAAATGGGTGGAACAGAAGGCAGGACGAAGGAGGAGTGAAAATGTTGATGAGTATAAACCAAAGCATATAAAACGTAGAATGAATCTATTGTTCAGGGCAGGACCCCATCTCTTATGGTGCGAGGCTCTTGTCCGAAGCTGTCTCCGTTCTGAATAAAGCTGTTGCGAGCAACGTGTGCTGGCGTTTGCTCCCTGCTCTGCTCTGGCTAATGAGTAACAGGATCCATGGGTAATTGGATTGTTGTCTCCCTAGTCATTGGGCACCGCATTGAGTTGGGGGTCTAGCATCAAATATCTGGACCAGAATAAGGAACTAGGTTTTAGGCTGGGATTATACCCAGAAATCCTTCTTGGGCCACCCGAGACCACATCTCTGTGGCACTGGGGGACACTCCTGGACATCTCTGACAAGAGACTTGCCCAGCCCAAAGCACGGTTTGGCCATGCCAGGCTGCCAACAAACAACACCGCAGCCATTGTGCTAAGTATATGGACCTGAATAAGGAACTGGAATTTGGAATCGGATGATAGCTAGAAATCCTTCTTGGGCCATCCCAGAACATGACTCTGTAGTCCTGGGGGACTGTCAAGGACATCTCTGACCAGGGACTTGCCTGGACTAAAGCACGGTTTGGCCGTGCCAGGCTGACATCAAGCACCCCAGCCTCTGTGCTAAGTACATGGAACTAAATAAGGAACTGGATATTGGGCTGGGATTATACCCAACAATCCTTTTTGGGCCATCCTAGACCATGTCTCTGTACCACCAGGGGACACTTCTGGATGTCTCGGAATAGAGACTTGCCCGGCCCAAAACGCGGTTTAGCCGCACCAGGCTACTAACTGACACCACCCCCCAGACACTTGTGCTATCTGGACCTTAATAAGGAACTAGTTTTTTGGCTGGGATTATGGCTAGAAAATTTGCTTGGACCACCCATCAGAATACCTCTGCATGACCGGGGGACTCTATTGGACACATCTGACCAGAGATTTGCCTGGCCCAAAGCACAGTACGGCCGTACCAGGCTGCCAACTGACAGCACCCCAGCCACTGTGTTAAATACATGGACCCGAAGAAGGAACTGGATTTTGGTCTGGGATGATAGCTAGAAATCCTTCTTGGGCCACCCCATGACATGCCTCTGTGGCCTTGTGGGAATGTCCTGGATATCTCTGACCAAAGACTAGCCTGACCCAAAGCACGGTTTGGCTGTGCCAGCCTGCCAACTGACAGCACCCCAGCCACTGTGTTAAATACATGGACCCGAAGAAGGAACTGGATTTTGGTCTGGGATGATAGCTAGAAATCCTTCTTGGGCCACCCAATCCTGTGCCTTTGTGGCACTGGGGGACTCTCCTGGACATCTCTGATCACAGATTTGCGTGGCCCAAAGCGTGGTTTGGCTGTGCCTGCCTGCCTACCGAAAGCAGCCCAGCACAATGCAAAGTATCTGGATCCAAGTAAGAACTGGAATTTGGGATGGGATTATCCCTAGAAATTGTTCTTGGGCCACCCCATACCAGGTCTCTGTGCCACTGGGGGATGCTACTGGACATCTCCGATGAGTGACTTGCCCGGCCTAAAGCATGGTTTGGGCATGCCAAGCTGCCAACTGACAGCCCTCCAGCCACGGTGCAAAGTATATGCATCTGAATAAGAAACTGGATTTGGGCTGGGATTATACCCAGAAATCCTTGTTAGGCCACCCCAGACCACATCTCTGTGGCACCAGGGGACTCTCCTGGACATCTCTGAAC